ACCGTTAGTCAACTGACGGTCAATGTCGGGTGCTGACGAAGCGTGCACGCGTGGAGGTGAAAATTGACGTGGAATTCCAGGTCATCGAGATCGCTAACATGGCACTACCACGTCATTTTAAAAAAATTATTATTTATATTTTTATGTTATTAATTCATACTAATCAGAGAGTGACATGTGTCACTTTGGTTTTGGGGGAACAATGAAAATGGTGAAATACATGAAAGGAGACTTGAACATGGGTCCAAAGGGTGAAATGCAAGTTATTTTTCCACCAAACTAGGCTACTAGTTCAAGTAATGAATGAAACAAAACGTATTTATTAGATGCTTCCGTCTGAATTTCATAAAAAAAAATAAAATATGTGTTGTTATTCCCCTTATATGTACTCATAATCTGATTTCCCCAAATTTGATTTTCCCTAAAATATTAGGGTTTAGGGTTTCATTTACCTTGTGAATTTTTTTCAAATTCATTGAAACAACAACTTTAAGTTGATAACGAATGTGAGTTTTCTTATTTTTCAATCTATTAATCTTCAGTCTTATTTTTCAAAGACTATATTTTTTTCACCATTTTCATTGTCCCCAAAAAACCAGACTCTCTGATTGATACGAATTAATAAAATATAAATATAAATAATAATTTTTAAAAAATGACATGGCAGTGCCACGTCAGCGATCTCGATGATCTGAACGTCCACGTTAACTTTCACCTCCACGCGTGCGCGCTTTGTCAGCACTCGGTGTTGACCGACAGTTGACTGACGAATTTTCATCCACCATGGGTTATTTTTTACCCAAAATTAAACGTTCAGTGCACAAAAGTTCCAAAAAACATTACGGATAAATTTGACTATAGTTTCAAACATTAGAGTTATTTTATTTCATTATGTCTTTTAAAAAATACTAGTATAATAAAGTTTTAACTCAAAAAAAATAATTCATTTTGTACTCTATTAATTAGGGGGTGTAAATGATCTAATTTTAAAAGAACAAAGTTATATTCATGTTTGTTTGTTTGTTTGTTTTTGAATGTGTTCAGGTTCAGTTCGAGTTCGTTTAAATTTTAGTATCGTATTCATGTTCGTATTCGTTTATTTATTGTTCATAAACATGTTCGCTTAATGTTCGTGAATGTACTCATTTATATGTTCATGAACGTATTTGTTTATATGTTCATTTAATGTTCATTTAGTTTTTGTTTATATGTTAAATTTTTAGTTTTACTATTTCAAGCTAAATAAAATTAATAAAATTAATAAAATTACCCCATTAATGCTTAAACTCTTTAAAATTCACCTTTTAAATTTTAATTTTTATCACGTGTTCAATTTAGTCACTACCATCAACAATATTTAAAATGTAGAAAAAAGGAAAACGAAAATACAAACCGGTTCACGAACATAAATAAATGAGCTCATAAGCGAGCTTGTTCATGAACATAAATGCATCGAATACACCTCTATTCATGTTATTAGTTTATTAAAAGAACATAAAATTTTTATTCATACTCGTTTATTCAACTTAACAAACAAATATAAACGAATGTTACACGGATAATTCATGAATCATTCACCGAACGTTATGTTTATTTATATCTATATATTATTAACGATTTTTTGTCTAACCCTAAATATTCGAGCAATTTTGCGAGTAAAGTGATTGAAAATAAAGAAGTGTATAGCCAATACCCTGATTCCCTAAAGACGGGAACTATATATACTTGTCACACTCCTTTCTCCTCTAGAGAACCCTTCAGCTTCATATTTTTCCTGGAAAACCCTAATAGCCGCCATCGCCTACCAAACGCCTTGGAAAATGGCCGGTGAAGGATTAGTTCTCCGTGGCACCATGCGCTCCCATACGGACATGGTTACCGCCATTGCCTCTCCCATCGATAACTCCGACATGATCGTCACTTCCTCACGCGACAAATCCATCATCCTTTGGCACTTAACAAAGGACGAAAAGAACTGCGGCGTCGCACATCGTCGTCTCACTGGTCACTCGCACTTCGTCCAAGACGTTGTTCTCTCTTCTGATTCTCAATTCGCTCTCTCCGGTTCCTAGGACGGCGAGCTTCGTCTTTGGGACTTAACCGTCGGAACCTCCACTCGTCGCTTCGTCGGCCATACCAAAGATGTTCTTTCTGTTGCATTTTCCATTCACAACCGTCAGATCGTTTCCGCTTCTCGCAATCGGATTATCAGGCTTTGGAATACGCTTGTAGAACAAATACACAATTCAAGAAGGCGACGCTCATACCGATTGGGTTAGCTGCGTTCGTTTCAGCCCAAATACTTTCCAACCCACCACTGTTTCAGCTTCGTGGGACAATACGGTTAAAGTTTGGAACTTGACCAACTGTAAGCTCCGTAACACATTGGCCGGGCACCCCGGCTATGTGATACGTTGGCGGTTTCTCCTGATGGTTCTTTGTGTGCCAGTGGAGGAAAAGATGGAGTGATTCTGTTGTGGGATTTGGCTGAAGGGAAGAAGCTTTACAGTCTTGATGCGGTTTCTATCATTCACTCTCTTTGCTTTAGTCCTAATGGGTATTGGCTCTGCGCTGCCACCGAGCAGACTATCAAGATCTGGGATTTGGAGAGCAAGAGCATTGTGGAGGACTTGAAGGTTGATCTTAAGGCTAAGGCTGAGAAATCCGACGTCTCTGACACCGGAAACAAGAAGAAGGTAATAATGCTTCTTATCCTTCCTGCTCAATTTTCTGTTAATTTTTCCTCAATATAATTGTTTAGCAGTTGGAAAGCAATATTTTTGTGGGAAATTTTAGATGCAACGAGATTTACTCTAAATAAAAAAATAGAATCTGATTTGCCTTTGAATTATGTGATGGTTTGGGTGCTTGGTCAATACCATTTTGCTATGAATTTGTTTATTAAGACCAGCATTCGGTTACCTGGTACCCTATTTTTACTTCTCGAGTACATAACTACTTGACTTTATCTTGTTTCTAAATTTTGCGAATCTACTTGTTAAATCATAAATAACTCATGTGGAGTTTATTGTTTCAAAACATGTTGTGCCTTGGCGTGGTAGAAATTGCACTTGGGATCTGTTTTCGCATCAAGTTGTGGTGTACAGGTTTGAAAGAAATGGTTGTCCCTTGTTCCCATATGTAATGGGGTAAATAGAGGTAAGATAGTAGATTGCCCCGAACACTAGGTTGAGAGCAACTTCTGTAGTAGACCTCCAAATTATGAAATGGCCTCCGTGGGACACGATCCCACGACTTCTAGATTAAAAACATTGTGCTCTACCAACTGAGCTGGATAGTCATCTCACAAGTTTGAAAAAAATGATTTGTACAATTGGTCATCAGTTGTGCAGAATCTGTTTAATAGTTAGGATAATGATGGAATTTTTTTTATTGCGTTGCAAAGAAACAAATGAAGTGTTAATATCGCAGGTGATACTGCAGTTGCTTGAACTGGAGTGCGGAAGGAAGCACCTTGTTTAGTGGCTACACCGATGGTGTAAACAGAGTTTGGGGTATTGGTCGTTACGAGGTACCCTTGCAAATAATTGAAGGATATTTGGTTGGATGTTGAGGTGTTTATTCCGGTTGGTCCGGTTTACTGTTAAGTTTGAATTAATTGGATTATGTTCATCCCGGCTTTGTTTATACCCTTTTAAATCCGAATCGAATCCCTGATACGGTGGAATTTTGAAGTGATGTTTCTCATCTGCTTGTTTCTCATTAATCGTATTCTGATTATCTACTCTTTCTAGTGTTAGTCCTTAATTCTTTCTATTGATTGATACAAAGAAATTTTGAAGTGATGCTCAATCTCATAACCTTCATGAGATATGTTAATCAAGTAAAAAAATCACCAAAATGAAACCCCAAATCCTTACTTTACACCAAATCCCTGCAAAATGTTTGTCTTACACCTGAACTGAAAGATCCAAATACAATCAAATAACGACTATATCCCCAAATAAAAGGTATAACTTGGTTAAAACATAGACTATTTACAATTTTAAATGAAGAAAAATAGCAATGTTTATGACAGCAAATAAACAAAATCAACTTTAAAACATGCAAGGTTCTAATATTGCAACAATCAAGCAAATATGAACAAAAAAATGTACTAGTCATCACACTCGGAAAACTCGGCTGAGTGTTCTGAACTTCAAAATTTTGAACTAAACCAGCAATAACATCTTGCAAATATTCAACTATAAAATGATAAGAGCTTTAATGCTTCATGTCAATACCATGAAGAAAAAGCCGATGAAAGAAAATTATCTGATAAAGAGGCTGGCTAAACTTTAGTTCACACACTTTTGTCTATTTTAGGGTGTAGGGATTCAGAATTTAAGTTCTACAGTCACATGTGTATCAAACAATAACCCATGAAGTAATGGTCCAAAACAAGTATATGTCAGGTAAAAAAAAATTGATTCCCCAGACATGCGATAATGCTCCAAAATGAATTGGAAATAAGTAAATAGGCTTAACTTTTATGAATGCAGGATAACATCACTCAACGAAGTTTTATGTCACAGAATGCTGACAGCTAAAAGAAGACAACTATATTTATATACCCGACATATAGCAAGTGGAGGAGAATGGCCAACAAGAATCGTAACAAACAACAAATAGAGCAATAAATTTGGCAATGATACCATGTTAGGCATCCACACCAATTGGGAATCGATGCAAGTTATAAAGCAATAAAGATCTCAAACATAACCATAGTAAGATAACACCACATATCAAATTTGAGAAATTAAAACGAGTAAAATGGTGCCACATTACATATATTTAAAAGCATAAGGTATTTCCGTCTAGAAAAGTTCTAAAACTTCCAGCATTTGGTGTCTCAAAATTGAGATATTTCGAGCGGAAGGTTAAAAGCAATTTAAATCAATACAATGGACATTAAGTCAAAAAATAAAACAGAGATTATTTTATTCACATAATTTAGTACAAAGAGTAATGAATCTTAAAAATGAGTAATTAAAGCCTTTTATCCATACCTCTTGAGAAAGCACATTCAATTTCGGCTTTCACAGAAAGTCAAACATCAAATACTAACCACCCGACATGCTTGAAAATATTCAGCTAATGGCAGCCCATTTCTTAAAAGCTTGAACATGCTCAAGCCTCTTACCTTGAGCCTCAGTTCTAGTTTTCGATGCTTTTAAGCTCCTATAAAGATTCTTATGGAATTTTAGATATTCATTCTTGTACACCCATTTGTCAATATACATGTTACACTTGTTCATATAACCAATGACTTCCATCACTCTTTCAAAGTATCCACCTCGAAGAAAGTTGAGTAGCAAAACCTCATACAAATTACAACTTACAGTAAAGTTCCTACTCGCCGTGATCCTCTTCATGTCACCCCATAAAATGCTAATATCACGGTACATTTCTAGAGAAGAATACCCACATACCAGATACATATAAGTATGTTCGGTGGGTTGGATTTTCATCTTTTGCATTCTTCGGTATATATTCAGAGCATCCCCCATCATTTTGGCCTTGCAAAAGAAGTAAATAGAAGAGTTCAATTCATAAGTTATAGGAGATATTGCTTTCTCCGAGTCACTTACTTCGTGAACAAGACATTCAGACAGAGTTGGTTGACAAATAGAAGATGGTTCCTTTATGCAAAGAGAACTTCTACCTATATTTGCTATCACATTTTTTGACATAACACTATTGTTGACCACATTCATTACTAAACCAGCCTTCCTTATTTGTTTTAGAAGTACATTCCCCTCCCTAAACATATTTCTTTCATTATAAGCCGTCAGGAGTGCCTCATATGCACTCGCACCTAAGGGATCCCCAGAAGACTCCATGTCATCCAAAATGTCATGAGCAATCTCCATCCAGCCTAATGAAATGCATGCATCTATCACCTCAGAGAACAAACTTGACTGGCCTGATGAATCTAACTCCTTTTTTAAGCCAAGTAAAAACTTTGACAGCTCATCGATCTTCCCATGCCTTTTATAACCATTAATGAGCTTGGACAGAGCCCTATTAGAAGGAAGAAGTTTCTTATCCCTACAAAAAACAAGATCTGATTTACCTTCAGCTTTCAGGACAGAATCCTTTTGCATTAGCTCAGGGACAATTTGTATCTTTAGTCCATTCCTGAGATTCTGAGGTCCAATTGGAACAAAACAAGGCTTCTGGTAATCCTTCCCAGAATCTTTCATGGGATGGGAATCCAAAGACCTATTCATTCTCAACAGAAGCTCAGCAGCAGAATCGATGTCATCAAACTTAAAATGCAAGTTTAACAAGCATTCGAAGAACTGTCTATAATGAGAAACAAAAGCCACGGATAAAGTTGCAACATGATCTTTAAATTTCTTCAACTCGTCCCTCTGGCCATTCATTTCATGGATTTGAGCAATTATTATGATAGTGTGTGCATCAGCAACAACCCCAGTTTGCGACATCAATTCTATAATTTGTTGACCTCTCAACGAAGCTGCAAATCTAGCACAAGAATCAAGCACAAGATTAAAGATCATTGTATCAGGTTTCAGCAAGTTTGGACAATGACTTTTCCCTGAACAAAACCTTATATAAGAGTCACAAATCTGGACCAACAGATTGGACGCTATGCATGCTCCAACCTCAGTCTTCACCATATGCAGAAATAGCAAATGCAACACGTTCATTGGGGGTATCATCCTTTTTTCCAGCATCAATCTAAGAATCATAGATAAAGGAATGGGCATCTGAGCTCTTGCTAAAGAAAGGACTAGCTTAATCAACATGCCAGGCCGAAGATGATCCAATTTATCTTTCAGGACCATCATAACCAAATCACAAGCTTTCAGTAGCCAATGAGGGCTAGACGAGTAGGATAGCAGAGTGATGAACCTACTAACAAGCAAATGGTTAGGAAAACCGTACGACCTTTTGAAATCATTGAAAGTTTCCCATGCTTCATCAAGTTTGAGATCCTTCAAAGCATTTTCAAGCTTTGTCAACAAAACTACATGAGAAGAACCTTCCCAACTTAACCTTTCCACGCGTGTAGCAGAACAAAAGAATCGAGGTCTGCATAGAACGCCAGATCCATCAAACCCATCAAAAAATTTGCTGAGGAAAAAACCGGTGCCATGGTTTGAATTCAAGGCAACAAGGGACCGAGTAGAACTGTAACTAATGAAACAAGGATTCACAAATATTTTCCTTGTCAATTTTATTGCCATTTTTAGATAAATGGTAATAACAGAGAACCTGCACCAAACCCAGGTTAATTTTCATTTATTAACACATAAGAAGCATAACGAAGGCCCAAAATACCATCAACAAAAGAAAGGTTTGTCTATGGATACAGGAAAGTATATATGCCTGATTTTATAAGCTTCAAACTATTCCAACACAAAAGGAAGCAAGGAGTTGACATCAAAATGTAGTCGGCGTGATTGACGGCGACGGCGACATGATCTCTTCGCTTGGAGAGTACATACGAGTAGATAGATTCAAGTCGAGTCTTTTGAAGTAAAAAATTCGTCGATCCCAGTAGGCAGAGCGGCGACGAACGGCGGCCAAATATCACTCGATGGAAGAAAGAGAAGACAGAACGACGCAAATAAGAAAAAATTGAGCCTTAGGGTTCATAACATGATATTAATGATTTTTTAAAACTACAAATTTCCATTCAATTGAGTCTACCAATTTCTATTTTTTTACAACTTAGTCCTATAAATTTGATTTTTTAACAATTAAACCCTTTATACTTAAAATTTTATTTTCTAACTCATAATTGGGGTGTGACAATTCTTTATCCTCAAAAGAAATTTTGGTCACAAAATTTACCTAATTAGAAAATATATGGAAATTGACTTCTCATAATATTTTCATGTTTTTAAATAACTTTTTTAAAACCATGGTTGTGCCAAAGTACTTTTACTAGGATAATTATTTACGTCTCAATGATTTTGAGACTCGTTCTCTCTTTTAAGACCATTATAACCAAATCTTAAGCTTTTAATAGCTAATGGAGGCAGTTCATCTTTTTTAATTTAGGCAGAGAGAAAACCCAATTAACTAATTTTTTTTCTCAAACATATAATAATATAACCTGCCTAATGATTTTATTAACAAGAGATGTGATTAGTATATGTGAATAAATTAGGATAAAATTGAAATATTAAAAAAGTTTGGGGACCAATTTAGGATTAATGAAAATGAAATGTTCAAGAGTTTCAGGACTAATCTAGAATAATAGTTATAGTTTAAGGATGAAATTGAAATGTTTAAAAGTTTGAGAGCTAATTTAAAATGAGGGTCATAAATTGAGGACATATAGTATAATTAACTCATTAATAATTCATAATTTGATTTAAATAGATTGAAACCCAATTTAAAAAGTTATTTTAGTATTTTTTTATACATTTTAACTCAATTATCGAGTTAAAATCAGGTCAATGTTATGTTCAAATTGGTTTTGGATAAATATAAATTGGGTTACTTTCAGTTAAGGTTACTTTCAGTTCGGTTGCTTTCGGTTCGAGTTACTTTTGATTTGGTTAAAATTTGGGTTGGTTTTGGCTCGATTCAAATTTTGCGAGTTTTAGGTTAAATTTAGATCATTATGTTCGGGTCTATTTCGTGTCTCGATTCGAATAAATCGATTTAGGTAATCAAGTTTGTCAGGTCTATTTATATATTGTCACTTAATGCATTTTTCAAATGGAGCTAAAGTAAATCTTATTCTTTCGGGAAAAAAAGAAAGTAAATCTTTGAGGACACATAAACATTTTTCAAACGGTTAAATAAACCAGTAATATTCAAAAACGGATATTTATTATAAATGGTTCATACCTATATAAAAGTATTGATATTTTGTATTTACGCTTATTATCATTATATCGGTAGACTTTTACCGTTTACATTGTTAATTTACCTGTTACTTTAAAGTAATATGTTTTGAAATTTCAAGTATCAATACTTTATATATGTGTATCAATACATTTTTGCGTGCAAAGTGTTTGAGAATCATACTGGAATAAAAGTATCAATACCTATATAAAAGTATCGATACTTGGTATTTACACCTATTATCATACTAGTAGATTTTTACCGTTTACATTGTTAATTTACCTATTACTTTAAAGTGATAGGTTTCGAAATTCCAAGTATCAATACTTTATACATGTATCGATACATTTTGTGTGCAAATTGTTTGAGAAGTATACTGAAATAAAAGTATCCATACCTATATAAAGAGTATCGATACTTGGTATTTACTCCTATTATCATTATACTGGTCGACTTTTACCGTTTATATTGTTAATTTACCTATTACTTTAAAGTATTAGGTTTCGAAATTCCAAGTATCGATACTTTTTATATGTGTATTGATATATTTTGCATGCAAATTGTTTGAGAATCATACTGGAATAAAAGTATCAGTTTGGAAACAAGTAAAGCTCAGTTTGGAAACAAACATACAACCTACATCAACAGTTTTTTTGAAGATGAAATGGAATGGTCGTACGGTCCCGCAAATGATGACAATGATGTGAGTTACTATGACTATTTTACTATGATGTCTTAAATTTTAATGCTTATTTATAATTTCAATCTCTCTATTACATCTCAGGACAACGACAACCTTTGGAATGTTGCAAGTACTGATCTACATATATCGTAAATATCATAACACCTGGTATGTATAACAACAATATTTGCTAACTTTGGTAATCACATACATAATTTCATTCACATACAAAATTTCACTCACATACAAAATTTGTTGTAACTTTGGTAATCACATACACAATTTCATTCACATTCAAAATTTACAAGCTAACTCTGCTAAATAAATACATACAAAATTAGGCTTACATCATCACATTTATTTTTCCATATGTCTCATGCAAGCACTTGTCAATGCATCTCTTCTTTTATTTTGATTGTGGCTTATGAGATCATTTAATATTCTCATACGATCCCACTCTCTAACAACCTATATTCAAATTGTCAGTATGTTAACCACATCATTCATTGAGTTTTAACATTTTAAATGCAAGTACTTTTTCAAACCACTTACCACTTCATCTATTGACCCTCTAGCGATGATCCCTTCTATCCGTATCATCACATAAATGCTGCAATCATGTCTGTTAAAAAAATTGAATACCACAAATGTCAAATATGAAACCCTTATAAATATTTCACTTCTTACATACTCAAATTTGGTACCCATTCAATTACACATTCGTTTTATGCTCCACAAAGTTGAAACCTTTCAATGGGACTTTCAGCTGCCCATATGTATTTATAAATGTCTCTTCCTTATTATATTTATCTAATTCTGTCATCTACGTGAAAAAAAATATCAAGTTATATTACAAATAAATTATGCATTATAAATTATTCTTTCATTTCATACATACCAATTTCCTTGCATCTTACACTCTCTTTTTGGCCCTTGGCGATGTAAATAGACTATCATAAACCGTTGCAACACGAGAAATCATATCCACCACGAACAGATACCAATGACTCTGATTGTCGTTTATTGTAATAAAGATATACAATAAATGTCACACACAACTTAACAAAATACAGCATTTCTTTATAAATATTTAAATACAAAACACCATTTGCAAATCATATGGTATCTTATCGTATCACAATTGGTTAATTTTGAATAGTATTTCAATATACAATCCCAAAAGCCCGCAACATCATCAACACTTGGCATGTGTTCTAACACCATTGACTGTGTTTCCTCAACAATCATTATTAATTGACCATCCATAACACTACTTTTCAACATTTATTAATTTAACTCACCACAAAATTGTATGAAAGGTAGGCAATCTTTCGCTTCCCTGATATATTCTTCTTCGAATCGTGAACCAATACCCAACCTACCAAATCAATAACCTAACAAAATTAATTACACAATTACAACATATTCACTATGTTTTAACAATTTATACTTTCTACTTTAATCCAATTATCATTTCAACAACAATTACACAAATACATTGATACTTACTAGAAGTACATATATCCACCCAGTGGTTGCTTTCGATTTTCTTCATTGTTAATATTCACGGGCTCCATTTCAATGTCATCTTCACGAAGAAAAAATGAGGGATCCATTGACTTCATTTTTCCTTCATATATCAGTTTATGAATATTCAATCATTAAATTAAATCAATCAAATACAAGTTACATACAATTTATTCAATATACAAGTATTGATAACTAATCATATAGTAACCGCTTGCGTTCAAATGAATATGAATAGTATTTAATACAAGTATCGATACCTTTATACAACATATAATATCAATTTCTACTTATAATGTTATATAAAAGTATCGATATTTATTTTCTACCTAGAATATTAGTTTCTACCTATAATCGGTCACAAATCCTTATTTACTTAGAAAACCTCAAACCTAACCCATATTTTTGAATACTACAATACTAAAAAACTAAGGTTTCAACAATATACCTTTCGATTCGATTGCAGCAATAAACAACTACGCTTTCAAAAATGCCTTGTTTCTATTTCGTAGCAACTAATATGTTTTGATTTCAAAAACTACGATCGTATTCTATCTATTTTGCATAACGTAATGCCCCTTCAAATTCTTTGTTAGTAATGCCTTTGATATTTTAATCGGTTATGTTATTTTTATAATTGATACCATTCCCAATGTATCGATACTTTTATGTAAGGTATCGATACTTTTGAGACGTTTTTCTTTTTTTTTATTTCTTTTAAATTCCTAAAGTACCGATACTATGGTACATATACTTATAAACGTATTAATACTTTCAACAATTCTGGTAGCGATTTCCCGGTTTTGTCAAATTTCAACCTGTTATATTGTCATGTATCGATACATGTGTCTAAGTTGTTGATACTTTATAGGCTCTATTATTACAATTCTTTTAAATTCCTAAAGTACTGATACTTTGGTTCATATACTTATAAAAGTATCGATACAAATTTTAGCCATTCTGGTAGCTCTTTACCGGTTTTGTCAAATTGAAACTGTTTTTCTCAAATTTAAACCTGTTATATTGTCATGTGTCGATACATGTGTCTAACGTATTGATACTTTATAAACGATATTATTGCAATTCTTTTAAATTCCTAAAGTACCGATACTTTGGTACATATACTTATAAATATATCGATACAAATTTCAACAATTCTGGTAGCTTTTTATCGGTTTTGTCAAATTAAAACCGATTTTTATCAAATTTCAACCTGCTATATTTTCATCTAGCGATACATGTGTGTAAGGTATCGATACTTTATGGCCGCAATTATTGTAATTCTTTTAAATTCCTACAGTACCGATACTTTGGTACATATACTTACAAACGTATCGATAGAAATTTTAATAATTCCGGTAGCTCTTTACCGGTTTTGTCAAATTGAAACCGGTTTTGTCAATTTCCAATCGGTTTTGTCAAATTCGTTGTAACATCCTTAATACCGGGTTAGTGACCAAATTCAAAAACTTCAGAATTTGTTGGCTAAAGTAGATAAATTGAATAGTTCAAGGACTTATATTAAATTTTTTTTGTAGGACTAAATAGCAACGAATGT